TCGAAGCTAATCTAATAAATTCCCTACAATTTTCCGAAGTTTAATTTTCGCATTTTTCTTCCCAAGTTAGGCTATTTTTAATAGAAAAAAGGAAACCTAAAATTTTCGGATTCAAAAGTGTGATTGAGAGAGGAATTAGAAAAAGTCTCACTTTAGTTATACGTAAAATTTCATCTAAAATTTTTGGGAACTGAATAATACTCAAGCCCTTGTAATTTTGAAAAGACTCAAGTTCCCCTAGGATGACCGAACAGATAAAGATTTTACAGCGCCGCTTAGAATGCTTTTCGAGAGAAATAATAGTACTGTGGATAGCCTACAAAGTGTTTCATAGTATTTAGGAGGAAACCGTCGTTGGGTGCCCCTGAGAAGAGGAGAAAAATAAAGCACCTGTTACCAGTCCATTGTTCTGGCTCTTCCGCCCACCCACGCCCACAAATATTGCCTGACGGTGGTCGTGTCAAAAGAAAAAACTCGATCCATTATATCATTTGCGCGAAAATTGTCACCTTTCTAGCTACCAGAAACACCTACAGAAGAATAAAACACAGGAGATAGTAACTCTATTAGTACATGAAACACCTCTAAATGTAAGACTCAGTGCAGCAAAAATAAGATTTGCTCAGTCAAAGTTAGGGCTTGTTTACATGGAGGCGAGGTGACCCTCTTAGGTGGGGTAACCTGCCTGCCCTTATAATCTCTCATATGGTTACCCCACCTATCATGTAGACGTGATGAAATTTTAAAAAATAAGAGATTATATGGACAGGCGGGTTACCTCACCAACCTGGGGTACCCCACCTCCATGTAAACAGGCCCTTAGAATGTCCAAACACAGCGGGAGCAAAGAAAAGAGGAAAACTGGTTGTTCAAACAAACTCTAAGGTCACGTTTTACATTATCACAAGCTTAGGGACGGACCATTAGAAAAGTGATGGGGGGTGGGAGCAAAAAAAACTTCAAGCAAGGGAAAATATCTCACAAAAATTCATGCAAAGGACGGGCCCGCTATTTCACATTAAAGCCAGAATGATTCCGTATATGCCAGAGACGTTTCTTGCGCAGTTTCCGGTTTCTATCAAGTCTTTTTAGTGACACGCGCGAAAAGTGTTTTTTCTCGCGGCTTCGGCCTCTGGCCGAAGATTCCCGCCGCACGCGAGAAAAAAACTTCTGGTACCTAGGGTACCAGAATGACCATATCTTTTGGTGGGATGGGAAACTCCTCAGCCTGAACTAGAGACTATGACAAGTTTAGAAACTGATTAACAGCTCTTAAGAAAAAACAAAGTTAAGTATATTAAGATATGTGACTTTATAGTTTATAAACACAGCTGAGTTTTTAGCTCCCTTATTCTCGGAGAAGACAATAAAAAATTCAGAGATTTTTTGGGAATAGATCTACATTAGAAGTTGTTGAAGCCGTTCACCAGCAGGTTGCAATGCTTTTCAAGTCTACAATCCTCCCACGCAGACGTCCTTCCCGTGGGGCAGGAACGCGTGACGAACCCCCAAGAACGTCTGCTTGGGAGGCTAACAATAGTCAGCTGTACCTAAACTTGGTAATAAAACATTATTGGCTGCACGCTCATTCAACGATACAATGAGTTCAGTTATATGTATAAATCAACCCTTTTTCATAACATACTCATGCAGTGGGGCTTTTTGTGCTAGGAGTTAACGACATTCTGCAATATTGTCATATTTTCTTATGTTTTGATCATTTCTCATACTTAAAATGTTCATAAATCACTCGTCAGATAGAATAACTATAACTTATAGTCAGTTGTATAGTTTAAGCTGTAATATTACTATCTGGACACCAGCGTTCATCTTCTATCAAGACGTTGCACATAAATATGTTCTGTGAAAGACGTTAATACAAGGATTTACACTGTGCTCTGACGGCCTGTGAAATCCAGGCTGCTCAGCATACGATTTTTATGAAAAAAAACTTAGATTCCCAGGTCACATAAGAGCAAACGTAAGACGCCATGCCGTCTGGGACAGTCGTTGTGTAAGGGGTATATCAATCAAGCATTTACGAATTCTCAAGCTAAAAACCAACTTTGCTAATGTGGACACTCAAGAGAGCTCTCTTGGGACTCTTCATTGTCAACCTTGTGCCGTGATAGACCCGTTCTAGTTTGAAGGTCAAAAAAATATACGGTAGTTTGACTTAACCATCATTGCGAATTATTTCCCCGAAGGTTTAAGCTTTAAGGCTATGATTGACTAGAAAGCACCTGCATTGGTGTAGACATCACATGGAAATCAAATGGGAAGAGCTGGCTGATAGTTCTCATTTTTACTTTTAGTTCTTTTTTATTGTTATTTCATTTTTAGTTTTAGATTTTTTAAGTTCTCGTTTTTAAATTTTAGTTTTCCAAGAAGTTTCGTCTTTTACTATAAGGCATTTTGAAATCACTGGTGATCCCTGTCATCTGATTGGCTCTAACCAGTGTGATTTGTTCACGAATCACACTTCAGTTTTTGGCCATAAATCACATCTGTTTTAAATGGTCTCATTCATGTTCTAAAGAACATCATTTCTGTTTTAAATCGCATCATTTTTGCTCTCACATCGCATCATTTTTGTCTTATATACAAAATGAGAGGTGAAGCCATTTTGTTTCCCCTTTTCAACAAACAGGCTACTGGATCAATAAAATAATTGTACTGACTGAATTCTGTGAATTTTGCGATTTCAAAATGGCTGTAATAAAGTGGTAATTGAACTTCGTGACGTGCAATTGTGGACGTGTGGTTTCAAATCGAGCTCGCCGCACTGCGCCCTCGTCCAATTTTTAAACAGGCACGCTTATGATTTCAGATCAAATTGCGCTCCACTCAGTTTAATTACCATTATTTATTAACCACTTCTGTGTATAGATAGGCTGAAAAAGTTCTGGTGGCATTAAGTTGTGTTAAAAATGACAGTCTAACATTGACACCGAGGAAAAGTTGATATCCATTTCGCTATAAGAGAAGTACTTGACCCAACCCCCGGGGGGTGGGGACTCCGCATATGAAAAGGGTGGGGATGCTCGTCGTCTCGCTTAGGGGTGTAAATTTCGGATTTTGGTCTCATTTAGGGTGTTTTGGGCAAAACGCCATCATATTTAGCCGTGAAGGTCTCGTTTAGGGTTGCACGCGAAAAAATATAAAAATATATATTTGATATGTATATTTTTAATTCGTTTTATTTACTCCATCCATATAATCCAACTTTTCTCATTTTTCTCTTGGTCTCTTTTAGGGGTCAAAAAAAGCTGAAGCCACTCCCAGATCGGTCTCCTTTAGGGGTTTAATTCAAAATTTCCGACGAGCATCCCCACCCCTTTCATATGCGGAGTCCCCCCCCCCGGACCCAACCTAACTGTATCGTATTAAAAAAATTCACTTGATTATACAAAGAGAAAATAACGTGATTATGCGTAGAACTAAAGAAAAAACAAAAACTCGCTTTAATATTTGCGAGGTTGGTGAGCAAACTGAGATAACTGAAATGAATAAAATAGTGATTAATAATTGAATTAATGGTATTGTATTCATTCTAGCACCAGAAGAAGAGGAAAAGATTTCATTGGTGTCAAATGCGACAGATGAGATAGTTGATTGACTCATTTCATCGTTTCTTNGCCCCCCCCCCGGACCCAACCTAACTGTATCGTATTAAAAAAATTCACTTGATTATACAAAGAGAAAATAACGTGATTATGCGTAGAACTAAAGAAAAAACAAAAACTCGCTTTAATATTTGCGAGGTTGGTGAGCAAACTGAGATAACTGAAATGAATAAAATAGTGATTAATAATTGAATTAATGGTATTGTATTCATTCTAGCACCAGAAGAAGAGGAAAAGATTTCATTGGTGTCAAATGCGACAGATGAGATAGTTGATTGACTCATTTCATCGTTTCTTATCTGCTTGTGAAAACTGAAATAGATGAGATAATCAGTCAACGGATTAAGAAACCATCATGCAGTGATCTTTTAGCAGATGAAAATAATTCAGTGGTGGAACTAGAGAAGCCATCCACGTTGCTTCCTCCCCTTATTTTTTAAAGTAGCGCAAGGACCAGAGCTGACCAGACGGGAGATACTTCGTTTCCGTAAAAACGTCCCCACCTCTTAAATTCCCGTCAAGGTCTGCATCCCCCTTTTCCTTGAACACAGGAAACAACCGGAATCAGGAATAGTAGAACTTGCATTCTTCTACTATGATCCCCAAGGGAGGACGAAGTTCTTCCATCTTGATGACTTGCAAAGTAAACCCTCTTTTTAACACTGATGTTGAGCGATGTACCGTCGGAACGTGTCTAAAATGACTCATAACTTGTACATAGGACTAATTGTCATCGTTAGAAAGTTCAACATCTGTTATTCTTGGGTATTGTTCAGTTTCACAGGCAATGTTTGTGATTGAATTTTATCGTTCCATTCTCATTCCTGGTGTCCCTAAAGTAAGTTGGCAAAAGCCTCTCTGTTTTGTTTTAGTTTGTACAATTTGATTCCAAATTAAAAGGACTTCCTTCGACTGTTAAAACTATTTATAGTGGTCTCCTTATCTCATGTGAAGTTATTAAATTCGCATATTTTCATAAAGCGATGTATCGTCTCTAATCCCTGACAAGACGTTAGCAAAAACTTTCATGTGACTCAGTTTTATGGACTGATCCATCATTCACGTTGCATTGTTCAAAGCTGAAGCCATGTTGTATTATTATGACTGTATGTATATGAGGAATCTTAAAAAGTGAAATTTCCAAATACGTTACAAGAAGGTTCCCCTACACATGTTCAATTTGGTAACTAGTCCAACCAACCAAAACAGCCAAAAATGGGAAAACAAATAAGATGGATTTTACTGTTTTATTTTCAAGCCGACTTTACATGTACACATTTTATTGTTAAAGTTAACTGTTGTGATGTTTAGCTTTAATGCTCTATAGTTTTATAGAAAGCCAGTTCTACTTTCGGCTTGGATGGTGGATGCAGCCTAGGGCAGCCTCTTGCAGACAAGACCACAGGGAAAGACGCGATTTAAGCAGGGACGATCATTCCAATAACCACTAGATCCGCCGGCATGTCCAGTCCACATGTTGCTGCATGGTTCTGATGCTTGTCCGTTCGGTTCACCAGGGTTCCAGTTGGTGTATTTTGGAAGCGCATTGTCAGCCCATTCAAACTTGCTCAGGTGTGCGTCCCACTTCAGTCCGATCCAAACCTGTTTCGTCGACGGGGCGTGTTTATAAACCAAGTTCAGAACAAACTCGTTTTCTTCATCGCTGTTGATCTTCACAAGATCTCCGCCTTTGCTTTTGCAGTACGTTCGAGCAGCTTGCCAACTTTTGAGTGCGCTACTCACAAAGTAACAGTAGCTTTTGAAATGCGTCCAACCACTGGGGCAGGGACCTATATAATTGGTGATGAAAGAATGGAATTGGTGATTGCCTGTTACTGTGCGACTAGAAATACGTGTATCGCAGAAACTCGCGAAGCTTGGGGGGAGGCCCATAAAAATGTCAGGGATGGAAAGGAGAGAATTGGAGTAAATTGTGATAATAGCAATGAGAGTGTTTGCACTATTGTTGTAGTACATAATCCAGATTGATGCCAACCTCTGGAAATAGTAAAACCTGGAGACTCTTTCTTTTGCACTGGCTGACTTAAAAAATAGCTTTTATCTCTTAATTTTTTCAGCTAAAAATAAAACAGTCAGCACAATCACATTTAACTTCTTGCGAGATTAAGGGAGACCTCGAAGGTTATTTATGTTGGCGTAGAAGGTAAAACGTTTTCGAAAAGACAGCGACACAATGTTCTACTAGTTTTATTATTTTGGCTGGGCGCGCTCGAATTTAAAATACTGAAATCTCTATTTCAGGCCGTTGCCTTAATATTTTTTTTGCCTTAATAATGATTTTCAGTACATAAATCTTTAAAAACAAAAGCAAACAGCCAACGAGCGAGGACACCAGTTTTCTTGGTTTATTTTTTACAAAAAGCGAAGGCAAACAACCAGTCTGTTAACACTGAAAATTCCTTGAACAGCGATGCGATATTTTTCGTCTAATAATTCACAGTCGGCGATTGAGGTTTCTTTCGCAGTGAGCCTCCGCTTGCGTACCCCGTTCGGCGAAGTCATTCCCGGCTAAACTTTCAAATGAAACCAGTTTTAAGATGGGCAGTATTTTGATTTGCACCCGTTTGTTGGTAAATCAAAATGCACCTTGTTAGCCTTCAACAACTTGCAGAGGGATTCAACTCCGCGATACACTCACTCTCCGTAAATAAAACAAATCCTGAGAATATATAGTCAGCTACACCACCGTTTTTAGTGTCGTCGCGTAACGCTCCTCCCCACAAACGGCTGCTGTTAACCGAACTACATTCTTTTCCCTTTGTGTTTGTGGTCTAACGAACAAGCCAATCATGTATAAGAAATTTGACAATATGTGAGCCGCAGGGCGCTAGGAAGCGAGCACGCTTCTCAGTTTTCGACAAATCAATCAATCGTCACTGAATTTAGACGGGCTCTGTGTTTTCAAGCAACGAAAAGGTTAATTGGCAAAAAAGTTTGTTTGGCATCGAGATTGATTTTTACTGACTGACTAACGTAAATCTGAAGTAATTACTTTTTAATAAATTATTTTAAAAAAATCTGAAAAATCTTATCTTTTCTTCAAAACCAGGTTTAAAATCTTCCTCTGGTTTGTTGGCGCCCAGTTTTTCACGATTTAGATCTACCGCTTTTTGTCAAAATAAAGTCGGTGTAGTTTCGGGTGTAGCCAATAGATAAAAATCAAGAGAGGTTAAAGCTTAGAGAGCTTTATCCTCTCTTGCTAAAAATCGAAATCGATAAAAATCGTTAGCAATCAAGTGATTTGTATCGATTGATAAGGGAAACTGTAAAAATTTCGCGTTGTATTTCGCGTGTTTAAATTTGACGAGGATTCTTTTTCGCGAAAAACGACAAATTATAAAACTGAATCACGCAAATAACTACCAAAACTGTTGTTTGAAAGAAGAGACTGGAAGAAAAATTGACCAAAGTCTAACTATCAGTTCGTGAAAGCTATCTCTAAATTCGGGGGGGAAAAGAGAGGGTTTATTTTTTGCGGGATCAACTTTACTCACCAAGTATTCGCTCGATATCTCGCAGTTTTGCAAGCATTGCTTCATTGACACCACTTCGTTTAATTACACTGCCCGTCTGAACTGCAAGAAAAATTGCACTCACATAAATCAACAATATCTAAGTAGGATCTTCACTTTGTGAAAGAGTACTAGCGACTGGAAATTGCAACCTTTTCACGGAAAAATGCTAATCGACAAGTATCTTATTTTTAGCCGATGCAGTGATCATAAACCAAGATTTTGGAGAAGTATTTCTGACGAAATCGAAGCCGCAATGATCGCTAATGATGAAATGACGACTTTAGAGACGGACTAAAACAACAGTCGCATTACCATTCCGATCCGGCAAATTTTAGTGTTTTACAACATTTTTCCTGCGATGAAGGCATTGAGTGTTTTTATTTTGCTTATTAAATCTGTTTCTTTTCTATTTTCTCGTCTTTGTCGTCGTCGCCGTCGCTACGTTGTTGCGCTCGCCAGTAACGTTTAATACCAAGCAAAACAATTTCACTTGATACGGAAATGATTTCTTTGTAAAATCGACGATTTGGTGGAAAACTGAACGCGACGAAAACGACGTTCCCATAGAGAGGCTCCCGATTAGTTGTGTTAAAAAATGTAGTATTATTCCGTGTGACCAATTTCCTAAGTATGGGTGTTCTTAGTTTTTTTGCTTTTCCCCGACTTAGTTCTTTAAATCACTGCTGATTTGCTAGGTCTGGAAGAACATTACTCAGCTGTATGGTGCTATGGAAAAATTACACTATACCTAGGTCTGTTGCGCATAAAAGTGCCAAATATATGGCTAGAATAGCCGAAAACAGTTTCATCTCGGATTCGGTCTCACCAGCGGTCAGGGAATTGCTGAGCAGTTCTTTTGAGTTCTTGTTTCTCACAGTTCTCTGTCAAAGTGATGACTCATTGAAGGATGAAGCTGAATAAACGAGTTCAGACAGGATCTTATGCATGATAGACGTAAACATCACGAGGCGAGACTATGATCATCCGAACAGCGAGTTCAAGCGTTAAGTTGAGGATGAAACTATATCGCGGCATTACGCGGTCTAGTTTTGCTAGCAAGAATATGTGACCCTCCACAGCATTTTGATGCTCAACGTGAAAGAACGCTTACGAAACGCTTACATTTTAAAACAAAACAATTCATTTTAACACGCTTTAGCACGCAAGCCATCTTGCCTTATTAGTAATTTCTTTTGTTTTAGAGGACACGCTTGAGACAATTAAGCGTGAGCAAGTTGAAAAAAAACAGAAAACGTGTGTCAATGAAAGCGGACAACAGTTGCGTGCAAAATAGCACAACACCCTTTCAGCGTGCGCAAAAGCACGCAAGGCGTGTTATCTAAAGCTACAGCACTGCTCAAAAGTACCCGAAACTTGATTTTCCCCTGTTAGACGCAAAAATCGACTCTCGGCTTTTCAGTTACGGAAAGAAAATACATAACTTTTGAATATTCATCAGTCAACTTTACTTTTTCGCATCTGCAGAAATTCACACCGCTCGTCAGTGCTTTCATGCGCGTATATCTCTTATCTTACACTTTGAAGTTGTTTTGCTTATCTGAACTTTTGGACGATTGTGTCGGTATATTTTTGATATGAAGGCTACCTTCTTAATCATAAAATGCGTTTGTTTTTGGTACATAACTTGCGTCTGGTCGCCTCAGGATCATTCGCGATGGCGAATGCGAAATATGGTCTTAATGAGTTGTCAAAATGGTAAATAAACGTTTACATAACGTTTATATAACTGAACAGCTAATTTCATAAATCTCCAAGTGTACCGTTTAAAGCAAAACATACAACGCTGACTTCGAAATTTTGTTTCAAAAATATAAGTAAATTTGCATACGTAATTTGAAACCTCTTTCACGCATCGCAACTTTTTACTAAATACTAGGAGTAATCGGCTTGGGAGCGGCGTTCCAGCGGGGAGTCGGGGGGAGGAAGAGACGAGGTCTGGGACCGAGAAACGATGTTCTCTCAACTTCCAAAGCGGACACCTTGCGTGGTGGTCAGCGGGTACTTGCGGGGTTTTTTTGCCACAGTAGATATTTTTAGAGAAGCGAGAAGTGGACCGGCAGAGGAAATGATTAAAAAACCTAAAAATCATCATGCATCTTTACGGTTATCCCTTCGTATCGTATTTGTCTTTTGGTACTGAAATTGCGGGGGAAACTAACACGCAGCCGTGTTAGATCTTAACCAACAGCAACAGGCTCGATCGATTTATAGATCTTTATAGGTTTCATCGTTTTTGCCGGGCGAGGACATCAGAAGATAAAAGAAGTTATGATGCTGATAAAAATTACTGGAGAAAGTGTCAAATTTATCGTAAGTAAGTATATTCAAGAGAGCCTTATAAATATGAGCTTACAGCTGTACGTATCATATATACCTGAATAAACATTCACACTTCATCACATTTCACGCACTTCGTTTATTACGATCAGTCCACACCTTGAATCCAAAGTTAAAATTCAAAATGATCCTAATAAACAAATCACATCTACTACTGAAAGCTCTCTACCTTGAAGCGACCTTAACTTTCCTAAGGTTTGCGACAAAACACTGCTCGATAGCTCAACTCTTCGGCGGTTCTTATCAGCTATACGCAGCTATATGTTGCACATTCCAAATTCTGCAGAGGGAAACTGTTTAATGGAAAAAGAAAACCACATACTATGTATGAAAAGCAACATAAAATCAATAAATTTGCGAATTACCAAAATAAAATTGCGAGAAACAGTCCCGCCTTGGACTGCCATGTTTTTGTTCCTTCTAAAATAATCCGTTGATGTGTGATTTTTGGTCAGCACTCGTTAACATCCGTCGAAAGGCCCTCATATCTTCGGACGGATTTCGTAAACGTATGACGTCACGCTCGCCTCGAAGTTGATTCATCTGCACTTCGATCGTCTATATCCGACTTGTTTGATTTTCGGTGAGAGGTTTTGTCCAACTTTTTCGATCATTCCTCGATTGATTCCAATCAATTCAAACAAGAAGTTGCCACTGCCTCCGTTTAAAGGATGNTAAATATGAGCTTACAGCTGTACGTATCATATATACCTGAATAAACATTCACACTTCATCACATTTCACGCACTTCGTTTATTACGATCAGTCCACACCTTGAATCCAAAGTTAAAATTCAAAATGATCCTAATAAACAAATCACATCTACTACTGAAAGCTCTCTACCTTGAAGCGACCTTAACTTTCCTAAGGTTTGCGACAAAACACTGCTCGATAGCTCAACTCTTCGGCGGTTCTTATCAGCTATACGCAGCTATATGTTGCACATTCCAAATTCTGCAGAGGGAAACTGTTTAATGGAAAAAGAAAACCACATACTATGTATGAAAAGCAACATAAAATCAATAAATTTGCGAATTACCAAAATAAAATTGCGAGAAACAGTCCCGCCTTGGACTGCCATGTTTTTGTTCCTTCTAAAATAATCCGTTGATGTGTGATTTTTGGTCAGCACTCGTTAACATCCGTCGAAAGGCCCTCATATCTTCGGACGGATTTCGTAAACGTATGACGTCACGCTCGCCTCGAAGTTGATTCATCTGCACTTCGATCGTCTATATCCGACTTGTTTGATTTTCGGTGAGAGGTTTTGTCCAACTTTTTCGATCATTCCTCGATTGATTCCAATCAATTCAAACAAGAAGTTGCCACTGCCTCCGTTTAAAGGATGTTTTGATGTCTTAAGCCTCTTCTTTCTCTGCGGGGAAATGGACCTTTCAGTGGATGTTACTGAATAACATCGTTTGAATGGCCCCAGATCACCAGGCTGTGTATCTAGGTGACAATTATACATTGTCACTTTCCTAATTGAAAACATGTAAAGTGTAAAAATCGCCATACTTATATTTCACACTTGAGGAGAAGGATCAATATTGTTATTATGTTATGTTATTTATTTATTATGTCATTTTACCATATAAGGTCAAGAGAATGCGCAAAATATGAGGCTTTAATAATAATATTACTTAATAATATTTCTGTCTGATTTCGTTAAAATGACTGGTCACTAGGTTTTTGCCTGGCGCCGGGCACAGCCAGTCCGCCAGTCCGGTGTCCAAAAAAGCAGGGGGCTTGCTGTCTTGGTCGGTTTAGCTGGATAGCCCAGGGACTGCCCTAACAGTGGGTGGGTGGAACAGGCCTGGAGGCCAAAATTAGTGGGGTAGGGAGGCATAGGCGTACGGGCCGGGGGGGCGAGGGGGCTGCAGCCCCCCCAAATTTTGGGCAACTTAGATTTTTTGGTCAAAAAGAGAAAATTTGGGCAAAGCCAGCTTTTAAAGACGTTTCCATGCTTTTTTATTAGTGTTTTGAAGAGATATATATTTTCTATTTTAACCTGAAATCGGCGTAGTAATCCAGTTACATTCACACGAGACAGTGGTTGCCAAGCACGTGATGAGTTTCTGGTTATAAGGGAAGGGTATCATATGCTGAGTGTTTTTATCGTTGGGCGCTGTACTGCAATGGGCTATTTCCAATCGTGAATTGATTACAATAAACTTCCGCCTAACTTCATTTCTAGAATCATCTCTGCTCGTAGAACAGTGTGTGGCAGATAGCATCAGTAATGGGTCTGAAAGTGAAGAAGTGGCTGACTAATTCTCAGTTTAATACGAGAAGAATCTTAATTTTTAAAAAAAATCTGTCAAGCGTTTTAAATTATTCACTAATTTGTTAAAGTAGACCGAAATGCTTACAAAACCGCTAACAAAAGCGCCATGATACATACTAATCAAATCCTTCTTTGTAGCAATTGATCAGAATTAACTCTGAAATAATTCACACACGTTTTTAAAAAGATTGGAACTATTATAAGGTGAAATTGCATGTAAAAAGCGCTTCTTTTTCTACAGATAATGGCTAAACATCAAGATTTTCCATTTTTTACTGTATTCCTGACGATAAAAACTTTATCCCAAAATATCCCGATAACGCCCTTACAGATTCCGTTTTAACTTCACGAATATCGAGGCGACTATTGGAGGAAAAAGCTCCCGAGAACGATTTCCCGGTGAGAAATAATGCTGCAAGTATATATATAATAGGTAATGGCGTCAGTTCGTTGCTTTTACAACTCCAATGTCATTGCAACCCAGATCATGACATATTTTCATCTTTATCTAATACAACTGTGGTAAAATGTTTCCAAATGTTTGTTTATGGCGACGTAGTTTATGCTCAAACGTGGAAGGTATTGACCCTGAAAAACTGTATCGAGCCACTTTCATATGCCAGTACGGCCTATGTTGTTGCATCGTATAGCCCTCGTTTCTTTTCGACTGTTTTGTAAAAATTTGGGCAACTTGCAAGAATTTTTTGGGCAAATGGTTTACCGCCCCCCCCCTGGCCGAAAATTGCCCGTACGCCTATGGACTATGATCCTCAAGGGAGGACGAAGTTCTACCATGCCGATGACTTGCAAAGTAAACCCTCTTTTTAACTGACTGATGTTGAGCGATGTACCGTCGGAACGTCTCTAAAATGACTGATAACTTGTACATAGGACTATAATTGTCATCGTTAAAAAGTTCAACATCTGTTATTCTTGGGCATTGTTCAGTTTCACAGGCAATGTTTGCGATTGAATTTTATCGTTCCATTCTCATTCCTGGTGTCATTACAGTAAATTGCCAAAAGTCTGTCTGTTTTTTAGTTTGTACAATTTGATTCCAAATTAAAACGACTTCCTTCGACTGTTAAAACTATTTATAGTGGTCTCCTTATCTCATGTGAAGTTATTAAATTCGCATATTTTCATAAAGCGATGTATCGTCTCACACAAGATCTCCGCCTTTGCTTTTGCAGTACGTTCGAGCAGCTTGCCAACTTTTGACTGCGCTACTCACAAAGTAACAGTAGCTTTTGAAATGCGTCCAACCACTGGGACAGGGACCTATATAATTGGTGAATTGGTTATTGCCTGTTACTGTACTACAAAGTACAAAATTTTTGATCTGAAAATACAAAAATAAATATACCGGAAAATGAAGAAAATGAGTCAGTTTCTTACTAATTATTCGAAAAGCGGTATCACTGGCATCTCTCTTGTGTTTATCATCTGACCGAGCTGAAAAAGAAATTAAACCCACAATTAAAAAAAGCTTTGTGAGAAAAAATTTTCTTCTAATGTGTCGATGAATTACCCTTTTCAGTACATGAATTACAAATGTCTTCCAACCTGTTATTTCAAGGAAGGCTGACTACAACCATCCCGGTGAGCGCGTGATTTTGTTGTCTGTCATCCGCGTTGCGAGTATCAGTGTACGTGTATTGTCCGGACGTATACGTACTGTTGTCATTTGAATCACTCAGATTTTATGCACTTATCCGGGCTTCTGAGGCATAAGATTCTGCCTTTACTAGGGAGGCGTAAAGCGGCCCGGCTTTCATGCTTCAATTGCAGCAATTTTTGTGGTTATATCGTTGAGTTTGAAAGCCAGATTTAATGAATTTTTTACTCTGATCTTGACCTGAAGTACTCAATTTTCAATCTTTGAAAACTTGGTCATTTCTGTCTTGCTTGGAGTGAGCTTTGCGTGTTTCAAAATATACGAACCAAGAAAGCAAAAGAGACCAGCCTATACAATCCGGGCTCTGGTAAAATTTTAGAGAAGTGGCATCAAGATTTGAAGACCCGGCGAATTGATTTTTACGACTGACTTACGCATACCTGCAGTGACACATAAGAGCACAAGGAAAAGCGGTACAATAATAACCAGTTTCATCTCAGTTTAAAGTCTCAGGGCTGGATTTCTCTGATGTGTGATGTTAGCGGGTCCTTCTCTCTTACCGTCGTAAAATTGATGGCTCAAAGAAAATCTTGGTGATTTAAGTGTCAACATCCTTCTAAACAAGATAAAACAAGATCAAGCTAGGGAAGTAAACATGACGCAGTATCGTTAAAAATTATAGGCGGATTGTAATAATTTTAGTTTTAAAGATCTCACAGTCTTGCTGTAAACGATAGCGGTATAATTTCGCTAACGTTTCTCAAACTAAAAACTGCAGGTAGCCCATAGCTCTTTTGCCTAAACCTTTCGGTGCGATGTCTTTTTTGTACATTTTTATATCACATATGCACTCTATAAGACTGCCCTGAATAACTTGACATAAATTCATTTTGCATAATGATGTTTCACTAAAGAATCTTGTTTATTTAGGGTGATAGGAGGTTGAAAGGTCCAACAACTTCCGTCTTAAGCCTTATTTACAATAGGAAGTTCTTTCCCTGACAAATTTTCTTTGATTAGAGTATATAGATACATAGCAATTTTTTTAAATTAAGGCAAATATACTTATGGATAACATTATGGATAGCCGCCTTCTCCTTTTTAGCAGTCAGACATCTAGTAACATAGGAAATGTCAACACATCAGTGTAAATAAAGGTTTAACTGAAAATACCCTATTTCTCGAATAAGAGGTCCCTTTACCACCACTTTTTTTTTCTTAAATAGCACCAGAAGCACTTGTATACTTCTTGTAGTACTCACAAAGGTGTCTTCCCACATTTATTATTTCTTTAACTTAAACTGCACCAGCAATAATAAAGTAGAAAAGTCTTTCGTTGTGTATAACTTCGTGTGGTACTCATTTATTCATTTGTTTATTGAAATATTTTTACATGAAAATTTATGGTTAGCCAAAAAAATCATTTAGCGCCCTCATCGATTAGCTGTTGGCAAGAGAGGATAAAACTCTTCATCCTCTCTTGTTGTTGGTATAAGCGTCAGCTTTTGGGCAAAAATCATTCAAGGAAACACGGAAGTACAGAATAGCGTACAACTATAATCACCATATACGTTTACCGGTAGATTAAGCGTTAGCAAGACCTTCCGGTACGAGAAAAGGTAAAAGGAACACGGAGTAAGCCGAGGGGGACTAAGGAGTTTAAAGGGGCAGGAAGACCTGTGAACAAAATGTTGATGAGTTGATGCAGAAGATGCTCTTCTAGTATCTACAGTTCATACTTGTCAGACCTAAATATTATTATTATTGTTAGTGTCACAGTGTTCTCACCAGGCCCCTGCTTTGCGGGATTTGCACAAGAAAATCTGGGATGGCACATAAAAAGCCAAGAAGATGCACCCACTGGAGTGCAGAGGCATTCTACGAGTCAAACGGACTTAAGAACGTCTACAGTTAAGTAGTTTTTATGGTCAACATAACAACCCAGCATTTTGCTTGGTTGAATGAATAAAAAACATAATATTAAAAGATTCAAAGTCTTTAATTTTATTTCGTTAACTTTCGTTGGTCCCATGTACCTTGCAAAGATTGGTGAATGCATCGTCATCGGATCGGATTGGTGCATGCATCATCATTGGATCAAGTAGGTACAAGTAGAACACTGTTGTTGTTATTGCTGTTGTTGTTGTTGTTATTATTATTATTTATCTATTTATCAAAACAATGGCTTGTTAAAAAATAGCTTCATCTAGGCATTTCAGGTGCGTTATACAGTTTGTAAAGGGTAATTCACCTTTGCGGAAGAAACCATTACATGAGGGAGGATGAACTGCTCTACAAAATACTGAAACTGATCTTTCGCGCCATCATTTGACAGTTCATGAAGAAGATCCCCTAAACAGAGCGGAACAAGAACATTTACTGATGATTAGTTCTTTTTCACTTCAGTGGACACCTCTTTGGATTTTCCAGAACATTTCTGGAAAATTCAAAGTGTGCTTCTCTCAGCTGTTACTGAGATACAGTGTATTTATCAGAGGTACTTCAAAACTTCAAGTTTGAAATGTTATAGCCAAATTCGTTGTATCGCGCTGTGAGTTTAGCAAACTTTGGAGGAATTTAGGGGTTTTCTGTTCCATCAATCATCTTGGCGGACCTCTTAGGAAACACTTGCTGTAAAACTTCGAAGTCGACTTTCCTGCCAAGTTATATCGCGGGTATAGTATTTTGCATAAATTAACCGCCAACCACACGATGCCTGTTTTTGTAAACCAAAAATCGTTAATCTGCCAGATAACTGACTGTAAAACGTAAAGGAATGCAATCTATAGGAACCATCCAACGTTCTTGCTTAACATCGCCCCAATGACATCATTTAAAAGAAAAATAGCGGCGAACAAAAATTTCGAAAATTTACTATTTTGTCTCAGGTATACATGTTTTATTTGATTGGCATGCAAAAATGTATCAAGTACCCGCTGATTTTTAAGCACGAAATGGTTCACAAAGGGTGAAATATTTACATCCTGTTTCAATTTTGATCTAAATCGGAAAGCTAGTAAGAAAAAAATATGTTTAAAAATGTCCATTTGTTAGCCTTTTCAAAAAAAGTTCCCCCTCCCCTCCCTGATGCCCATTGCAGGTTTTTGTTAGAAGTCAAACAAATGCCACAATGAGTAGTTTCATCTGAAGTACTAACTACACACAAAGTATGAGGGAAGGTTTTGTTTGACCATTTCCAATTTTGCTCATTCCTTAGCGACATTCGTTCTTAAAAATTCACTTGATTATGCCAAGAGAAATTCAATTAAAATAAATGTGATTATGCTTAAAACTAAAGAAAATCAAAAACTCGCTTTAATATTTGCTAGGTTGGTGAGCAAACTGAGATAACTGAAGTGAATAAAATAATGATTAATAATTGAATTAATGGCATTGTATTCATTTTAGCACCAGAAGAGGAGGAAAAGATTTCATTGGTGTCAAATGCGACAGATGAGATAGTTGATTGACTTATTTCATCTTTTCTTATCTACTTGTGAAACCTGAAATAGATGAGATAATCAGTCTAGGGATTAAGAAACCATCATGCAGTGATCTTTTAGTAGATGAAAATAATTTAATGGTGGAACTAGAGAAGCCATCCACGTTATTTAAAGTAGCGCAGGGACCAGACGGGAGGTACTTGGACTACTTCGTTTCCGTAAAAACCTCCCCACCTCTTAAATTCCCGTCAAGGTCTGCATCCCCCGTTTCCTTGAACACAGGAAACAACCGGAATCAGGAATAGAAGAAAGTGCATTCTTCTACTATGATCCTCAAGGGAGGACGAAGTTCTACCATGTTGATGACTTGCAAAGTAAACCCTCATTTTAACACTGACGTTGAGCGATGTATCGTCGGAACGTCTCTAAAATGACTCATAACTTGTACATAGGACTATAATTGTCATCGTTAAAAAGTTCAACATCTGTTATTCTTGGGCATTGTTCAGTTTCAAAGGCAATGTTTGTGATTGAATTTTATCGTCATGTAAAGTTATTCAATTTGCATATTTTCATAAAGCGATGTATCGCCTCTAATCGCTGACAAGACGTTAACAAAAACTTTCATGTGACTCAGTTTTATGGACTGATCCATCATTCCGGTACTTTGCATTGTTCAAAGCTGAAGCCATGTTGTATTATTATGACTGTATGTATATGTGGAATCTTAAAAAGTGAAATTTCCAAATACGTTACAAGAAGGTTCCCCTACACATGTTCAGTTTGGTAACTAGTCCAACCAACCAAAACAACCAAAAATGGGAAAACAAGTAAGATGGATTTTACTGTTTTATTTGTCAAGCCGACAATACATTGTTAAAATATTGTTTTGATGTTAAGCTTTAATGCTCTTTAGTTTTATAGAAAGCAAGGTTACTTAATCGTTCTACTTTCGGCTTGGACGGTGGATGCAGCCTAGGGTAGCCTCTTGCAGACAAGACCACAGGGGTACGCACGATTCAAGCAGGCGAGGTCATTCCAATAACCATTCGCTCCATGGTCCTTTCCAGTCCACATGTTGCTGCATGGTTCTGATGCTTTTCCGTTCGGTTCACCACGGTTCCAGTTGGTGTATTTTGGAAGCGCGTTGTCAGCCCAGATAAACTTGCTTATCAGCGCGTCCCACTTCAGTCCGATCCAAACCTGTTTCATCGACGGGGCGTGTTTATAAACCAAGTTCAGAACAAACTCGTTTTCTTCATCGCTGTTGATCTTCACAAGATCTCCGCCTTTGCTTTTGCAGTACGTTCGAGCAGCTTGCCAACTTTTGACTGCGCTACTCACAAAGTAACAGTAGCTTTTGAAATGCGTCCAACCACTGGGACAGGGACCTATATAATTGGTGATGAAAAAATGGAATTGGTTATAGCCTGTTACTGTACTACAAAGTACAAAATTGTGATCTGAAAATACAAAAATAAAATACCGGAAAATGAAGAAAATTGGTCAGTTCCTTACCAGTTATTCGAAAAGCGATATCAGTGGCACTTCTCTTGTGTTTATTATCTGACCGAGCTGAAAAAGAAATTAGACCCACAATTTAAAAAAAACTCGTGAGAAAAAATTTTCTTCTAATGTGTCGATAAATTACCCTTTTCAGTGCAAGAGTTACAAATGTACTTCCAACCCGTTATTTCAAGGAAGGCTGACTACACCCATCCCAGTGAGCGCGTGATTTTGTTGTGTGTCATCCGCGTTGCAAGTATCTTTTGTTAAATTTCGTAAAATCAAAAGCGTAGACATATAAACCAGTGTACGTATTGTCCCGACCTATACGTACTGTTGTCATTTGAATCACTCAGATTGTTTGCACGTAGTCGGGCTTCTGAGGCATAAGATTCTGCCTTTACTAAGGAGACGTAAAGCGACCCGGCCTACACCTTTCAATTGTGGCAATTTTTTTGGTTATATCGTTGAGTTTGAAAGCCAGATTTAATGAATTTTCTACCCTGATCTTGACTTGAAGTACTCAGTTTTACTCTTTGAAAACTTGGTCATTTCTCTTTTGCTTGGAGTGAGCTTTGCGTGTTTCAAAATATAACCAAGAAAGCAAGAGAGACCAGTCTAAACAATCCAGGCTCCGGGTAAAATTTTAGAGAAGCGGCATCGAGATTTGAACACCGAATTGATTTTTACGACTGACTTACACATACCTGCAGTGACACATAAGAGCGCAACGAAAAGCGGTACAATAATAACCAGTTTCATCTCAGTTCAAAGTCTCAGGGCTGGATTTCTCTGATGTGTGATGTTAGCGGGTCCTTCTTTCTTACAGTCCTCAAATGGATGACTCATAGAAAATCTTGGTGAAGCTGCTATAATTGTTAACATCCCTCTAAACAAGATAAAACAAGATCAAGCTAGGGAAGTAAACATGACGCAGTATCGTTGAAAATCATAGGCGGATTGCTATAATTTTAGTTTTAAAGATCTCACAGTCTTGCTTTCAACAATAGCGGAATAATTTCGCTAACGTTTTTCAAACTAAAAATTGCAGGTAGCCCATAGCTCTTTTGCCAAAACCTTTCGGTGCGATGTCTTTTTTGTACATTTTTATATCACATGTGCACTCTATAAGACTGCCCTGAATAACTTGACATAAATTCATTTTGCATAATGATGTTTCACTAAAGAATCTTGTTTATTTAGGGAGATAGGAGGTTGAAAGGTCCAACAACTTCCGTCTTAAGCCTTATTTACAATAGGAAGTTCTTTCCCTGACAAATTTTCTTTGATTAGAGTATAGATAGCATAGCAATTGCAGCACTTGTATACTTCTTGTAGTACTCACAAAGAAGGTGTCTTCCCACATTTATTATTTCTTTAACTTAAACTGCACCAGCAATAATAAAGTAGAATAGTCTTTTGTGTATCACTTCGTGTGGTATTCATTTATTGATTTGTTTATTAAAATATTAATAACATGAAAATTTATGGTTAGCCAAGAAATCATTTAGCGCCCTCATCGATCGATTAGCTGTTGGCAAGAGAGGATAAAGCTCTTTATCCTCTCTTGTTGTTGGTATAAGTGTCAGCTTTGGGGCAAAAATCATTCAAGGAAACACGGAAGTACAGAATAGCGTACCACTGTAATCACCATATATGTTCACAGGTAGATTAAGCGTTAGCAAGGCCTTCCGGTACGAGAAAAGGTAAAAGGAACACGGAGTAAGCCGACGGGGACTAAGGAGTTTAAAGGGGCAGGAAGACCTGTGAACAAAATGTTGATGAAGTTGATGCGGCCTGACTATCTCGCACAATCTAGTATATTTGGGCAGATCAATCGGCAAGAGCCATAATGGGTGATGTTTGCTAATTAACAAGTTTGAAAATGCTCCTGTATGGAAAAAAAGGCCAACCTCTATTGAAGCAAAATAAGTAAATATCGTCCCATACATCGTCCCAGGGGGGACCCTAAAGGGAAGTTTGAGGGTGGAGGTGTTCCACCCACCCAGAGGCCTTCAAACCCTGATCCTGTCCAAGTCAGACCCCGAATCATTTCGTTCCGTATATAGAACAACAGTAATTTTTTAAATGCCATCATGGAATTGGTTTTCTTTTGGAAAAAGAAACTTAGCTTGGTATTACAAATGAAGACCTCAGTATAGCCATTCTTCACACTCTTTTAAAGGCTTCCCCGGTCAGGGGCGGATTTAGGGGGAGGGTGTAGGTGGTG